CAACTCAGCTTATTTATATCCTATTTCTACTGTGTGTGTGTGTGTGTGTGTTTTAAACACAACAACTTACAATAACAATTGATTTTATGACAAACCTAGAGAATAGTAACTAAAATTTTCTTTGGAGTACCTTTTTTTTTAATAATTTCATCTTTATTTTTTTAATTTATTGAATTTATTGGAGTAACACTGCTTAATAAATTTATATTCAGGTATAAAATTCTATAATACCTCATCTATGTATTGTATTGTGTGTTCACCACCCAGTCAAGTCTCCTTCCATTACCATTTTATGCCCCTTCCCCTTCTTCTACATCCTTACACTCCCCACTTTTCCTCTGATAATCACCATACTCTTGTCTGTGTCTATGAGATTTTTTTGTTTGTTTTTAAATATGTTTTTATTGATTTCATAGAGAAAGGGAAAGGGAGAGAAATATCAACGATGAGAGAGAATCATTGATCGGCTGCCTCCTGCACACTTGGCATTGAGTCCACAACCTGGGCATGTGCCCTGACCTGGAATTGAAATGGTTCATAGGTTGGGACCACTGAGTCAAGAAGCCAGATTGATTGTCTTTGCTTAATCCCTTCACCCATCTCACCCAGCCTCCGAGGCCTCCTTCCTCATCTTTAGTATTCTTAAAGAAATGTTTCTTGGGTGTATTTTCAGAGCTCCTGTCAAGTTCTTTTTTTACCTTTTCTTTTCTATTAGCCATGCTTAGGATAGTGTTTTAGTGATTTCTGTTAGGTTTTTCAATTCTCACCCACTCTTAAAAAGACAGAAGCGACATTTAAGATGTATATAAATCTAAGATATGTTCAAGTACAAATGCGGAGTGTCAGTGTCTAATTGGATTATTCAGACTTGTCTATAGTAAGTATAATGTAGCATTTGGAGAATAGGCAATGCATGTACATTCAGCTGAATAATTGAACTATTAAACAACTGCATAATTAAGAGCTACAGAATGAATAGGTTTTCTACAAGAATCTGTAGTACATTAAAATAATGATTTTGTAAGGCTTAAAGCCAATAAAGTCAGATTCCATTTAAATATGTGACTCCAACCACCTCCCAAAAGCAAAAAAATTATGTGAAGATAATCACAGATGAGCTTCCTCTGGAGACATATGTTAAAGACAACCTGATGGAATGAGGCTTTTTGATGATCCCCTTGACCCGGAATCCAGATTTCCAAAATTTTTTTGTCCAATCCACTGACAGCTCTAAGAGAGACACAAAAAAGAGAAAATCACACCCGTGATAGCTCTCTGGATTACCTTTTTTTCCTAAAGCAGATTGCTTGAGCAGCCATATTTTTTGTGTATGTTGTCAATGTGGTAGCATGACCATTTTCTTGACATCTTTACTTTGATAATTCAGAATTGGAGCAGTTGGGCTTTCACAATTTCTGAATCCCATGTAAAAACAGGTGGCACATTATCTTGTTAAATAGGCCCTGTTATAGTGTCTGGAAGAGACAATACAGAAAATGAGTTGTGCTTCAATTTGTGGGGAAAATCTGCCATTTACTTTCTGTCCCTATGTTTGTTCACCTTATAGGGTAGGCCTGAAGGGGAATGTATCACTATCTGGACCAACTTAGAACTTGACCCTTGGTCACAAGACCAAGATATGGTCCAGAATGTCTCCATCACTCTTCTCTTGGTAGAATATGTCACATGACAATTTTAGTAATTGTTTTGGGAAAAGCAGTTTAAAACATGAGGCGAATACACACAGGGATGCCTTTAAAAAAAACTTATAATAGATGTTAGATAGATATTATTGCTAGGTTGAGCTTATTGTATGGTCAGAAATGCATCTTTTTTAAAAATCATTTTTTTAATTTTTCAATTACAGTTGACATATTATATTCATTTCAGGTGTACACCCCGGTGATTAGACATTCTATAACTTTCTAAATGATCTTCCAGATAAATCTCATACCCATCTGACACCATACATAATTATAGGAATATTATTGATTATATTCTCTATGCTGTATTCTACATACCCAAGACTATTCTGTAACAACCAATTTGCACCTCTTAATCCCTTCATCTTTTTCATCCATTCCCCCAAGTCCACTCCCATCTGTAACTGTAAAAATGTTCTCTGTATCTATGAATCTATTTCTGTTCTGCTTGTTTGTTTATTTTGTTTTTTAGATTCAGTTGTCAATAAATATGTACTTTATTGCCATTTAATTATTCATATTTTTATCTTTTTCTTCTTTTTCTCCTTCTTCTTCTTCTTCTTCTTCTTTCAGAAGACCTTTTAACATTTCATGTAATACTCGTTTGGTGGTGATCTGGAGATAAGTCGTGGCATCTGTGGAAAGTCAGAGCTGAACATGACAGACTCATTTACACAGCCAGAGTGTATGTGCAGAACTGTCGGAATTTTATCTCTGCGATAGGGGAGAAGCGTTTAAAAAAAATGACAAAAACATTCATCATTTATGGCCCATTGTTCAATATTTGATGCATGAATACCATGCCTTTCTTTTATGTAAGGATGTCAAAATCTCCTCACTATCCACCCAATAAGAAATTTGAATTGAGAACATCTTATCTGGTCATTTTTGTAACCAGTGAAACAAATTTGCATGGAAGTTAAAAGTCAAGCCATTATTATTATTTTTTTAAGTCATGGACCATTTTATGCTATTTCAGGATACAGAGTAGGTGTGTTCTTGCTTTATACATAGTAGATGTTTGATAAGGAATCCTCATGGATGAAATTAGCTTTAAAAAACATAATACTATATTTACATTGAGATCCTGATAATATATAAAATTTATTACTAGTATTTGGAGACCTGTGAGTTTCAAAAGTTCAGAATCAGACCATAAGAGTTAGATAGCAGACAGTATTAGGATTCTTTTTGGATGATCTAGTTGTCTGATATTTTAAATTATTTGCCCCATGTGTTTTCCTTATAAACAGCAGGTTCCCATAGAATCCTTGCATGTCATTCAGCAGATGGTCAGAGGACAGCACTGGAGTTCATTAATCAAACTGCCCTTGATTTCTGCTGAAGTCATGTCAACAAAAGTTTATATTTAGATTGCTATGAAGAGCATTAAAACAAAAACAATAAAATCAAAAGTTGAAAGACTAGCTTTGTGATGACAGGAAATGAAGAATGTTACATTTGTGAATTAATATAAAATATAAGTTTTCTAAATATAGTAAGTATTTTATAAAAGGCAAGAAAATGCAAGGATTTTAATTATGGTTTGCAGGATGCAGTGATTCTGTACACTCTTAACAGAAAAAGGAGATTAAAAAGCTGCACATATACTGAGCATAGATAAACCAAATAGCTGGATATTTACTTAGGTTAGTAAGGAAAAAATTGGACATTTGGAGATTGAGTTTTTGTCTTACTATAAAAGTATACATTTATATTCCTGATCATATTAACTGTATTAGAATTCATGAGATACCAGGAGTGGTTTAACCTGACTGACATTATATTGAATTCAATACATTTTTTTTTCTTCTCCATCTCTAGAGATATGACAATAGATATTGTAGTAAAATTCTTATATCTTTGAAACCTTGTCACATTACAAATGAATGAAATATCATAGTTTTTTTCAGTGACTTGCTGTAAGTTTTAATATTTCAGATAAAAGAAAATATATCTGATAAGGGCTAATATCCAAAATATATAAAGAACTCATGCAAATCAATAGCAAAAGAAACAAACATTCCAATTAAAAAGTGGGTAGATGATCTGAAGACATTTTTATAAATAAATCATGCAGATGGCCAACAGGTGCATGGAAACATTCTAATTATCACTAAACATCAGGTAAATGTAAATCAAAATTACAAAAAGATATCACCTCACACTTATTAGCATGACTATTATAAAAAAAGACAAGAAATAACTGTGGTGGTTGCCAGAGGGGAGAGAGATAAAATTCTACCCTGAAATACATGGTTCAGGAATATGGGAGGAGAGCTGACCTCACACACAAATAGAATCAAGTATTATCTTCGTATCTGGCCCTACACATTTTCTTTAAATCTTTAAAGCCCTTGATGGCATGGTCTTGTCACTTCTCCCCTAATCACTGCCCACTACTCTGAATATACAGTTTGTTCATAGTCTCCCTGTCTTGCTCCTGATAAAATGTAGTTCCAGGAAAGTGTCCTATTAACTCATTGGCACTAAACTGTGTATGATATTTGAATTTTAATAGATGGTAAACCATGGAATAAATTTTCTGACATTTAAGAAATCAATAGATTTTAGGAGTGGGGTCATTTAAATCCTCTGGAAAAAAACTTACCAGTTGTCATCTACTATGTAAATAGGTAAAGTTGACTGAGAGTGATCAGAAGAAATTCAGAAATATATTTTTGCAAAGTGTGTATTATGTATAAATACATGTATTTTCATCTGTATCTATAAATACATATGTATTAAGGAAATCTTTAGAAGAAAAAGAAATTAAGTGATAAATTGGAGCACCACAGTAGTCATATTTATGAATTAGCATTTGATGTGTTATTTTTTAATTTGATAAATATATGTTCGCCCTGACCAGTTTTGCTCAGTGGTTGAGCATCGGCCTGAGGACTGAAAGGGTCCCAGGTTCAATTCCGGTCAAGGGCATGTACCTTGGTTGCGAGCACATCCCCATGAGCGGGTGTGCAGGAGGCAGCTGATACATGCTTCTCTCTCATTGATGCTTCTAACTCTCTATCCCTCTCCTTTCCTCTCTGTAAAAAAATCAATAAAATATGTTTTTTTAAAAGACTATATGTTCATGAAGCTACTGAAAAAAATAAGATGGAAGAACAAAATTCTTAGAAATTCAAAAACACTAATGGGTTATTATTTATTTAAAAACAAATTTTGATTGAATAAATAATTAGAAAATACTTCGATTAATGATTTTGTTAATTCATCTTCATCTAGTGTGCATATCTTTATAATTTAACCCTCAAGCTTTTGTTTCTTTCTTCTACTCAGTGTTAAAGAACCCGGTGTGTAAATTATATAGATTTCCCACATCTGACAATAAGTGGATGCGAATCCGGGAGCAGATGTCAGAGAGCATACTTTCTTTTCATGTTCCTAAGGAATTGATCTCTCTTCACATAAAAGAAGATTTGTGTAGGTAAGAGAAAATAATTATGATTGTCTTTTGCATTAATAATTTTTTTCTATAAAATATTTTTTCTCAAAGTATGATGATAACATGAAATTCTAGACCTGTTTAGTGTGGCGGCCATTAGCCCTGTGTGGCTCTTAATCCCTTAAAGTGTAACTAGTCCAAGTGAGATCTTATATAAATGTAAAATACACAGCAGATTTTTGAGTTTTTAGTACACAAACAAAAGACTGATTTCATAATAAGGATTAAATAAAAATATTATTAATTTCACTTGCTGTAAATTATTTTTTGAATATGACTAACTAGAAAATTTTTAATAACATATGTGACTCTCCTTTGTGGTGTGCATTATATTTCTATTAAATAGCTTGAAGTCCAGCCAATAACCTGAGCTTTGACCTTGCTAACAATCCCTGTGTCTTCACCGCATCTGCTTTTGGTTACAGTTCTGTAAAAAATTCCTCCTTGATTTTCTTTGAACTACTCATCTGCAACAAGACTCTCAGATATTTGTTAGTCTAAAAACTCAAGATGATTGATAAAATATGCTATGTGAATGGACAGTATTGTTGTACAACAAAATTAAATCCATTGCTGTAATGAAACAAAAGGATGTGAGAGTGGGTAGTTGATGAGAATTTCTCTGAGCCGTGACTAATAAATTTGTTTCCTGCCTTATATGCCTCTAGTGACTTTAAAAATGCTGAATACTATATTATACTAAACACTGCTAAGGCCCCAAATCTCAGAAAATTAGCAAATATTTTTAATAGTTAACATTTTTTAAATTGCTGTAATACACAGCAGGGTGTGAAATGTTCAAAATTTGCATTTCTGCCTTATGTGCACATTAGTACATCAAGTTACTTAAGAGTATTGGTAGACTTTACAGTTTCCAGGGATGCCATATTGACATAAACCAGTGAGTACACCATGGGCAAGACTGGTTAAACCTGGCAATATTGACAGTATCATCATGAGCCTCATAACATTTCAGTCAATGATAGACTGCATATACAACTGTGGTTTCATCTACACTAATAAAAGAGAAAGATGCAAATCGACCATACCTTCACGACACCCACCAGCCAATCAGGAGTGAGTATGCAAATTAACCCAACAAAGATGACGGGTTAATTTGCATATGCAGGCGCCAAGCAGCCGGGAGCCAGGTGGGACACTTGCGATGTCGCCATGATAACGATACAGGCATCCCGCACTGCCCCAGCTGCTCCGGGCCTCTAGGCAGTGTGGGAAGGCAGAAAGGCTGTGCCAGCCAGAGCGATGGCGGTGCCGGCAGCCAGGGGTGGGAAGGCCCATTCTTGCATGAATCGTCATGCATCGGGCCTCTAGTAAGATTATAATGGAGCTGAAAATTCCTATTGCCCTCTTAGTGATGTCATAGCAGTCAGAACATTGTACCAGCACAAGGCATTACTCATGTGTTTGTGATGACACTTTTGTAAACAGGTACACTGTGTTGGCAGTCCTAGGAAAGTACAGCACTACAGTCTGTAAGACTTGATAATGTAATAAATGATTAGGCTACTGATTTATCTATTTATTATATTATACTTTTTAGTAGACGCCCAGTGCATGAAATTCATGCACTGATAGGGTCCCTAGTGGCTGCTGGCTGCCAGCCAGGGCCTCCCTTCGTTCCACCCCTACGGTCAGTGCATGTCATAGCAAGTGATCGAACTCCCAGTCTGTTGAATTCCCAAAGGGACACTTTGCATATTGGGCTTTTATATATATAGATTGTTGCTTTAGACTCCACTCTTTCTACTTATTTTTAAAAATACTGTAAAACAACATGCCACATTATGCTGAAAGCAACCTATAAAGCAACCTCATACATCTCTTCTTTACTGTGTCTCTTGGTTGCATCATATTCTCTTGTGCTTGATTTAACCTTCTGTGGTTTTGAACAATAAAATGCTATACAGGTTTGTAGCCTAGGAGCAATGGGCTAGATCACATAACTTAGGTGTGTAGCAACCATTACATATATGTTTGTGTAAGTGCACTCTATAATTTTCACACAATGACCAAATCACCTACAGACACATTTCTCAGAATGCATCCCTGTGTTAAGTGGTACATGATTGTATTTACGAGGGTAGGTAGGAATGGCTGCACAAATACCATATAGCCAAGTGAGTAGAAAAGAAAAAGAAAAAGAAAAAGAACTTGAATTTTAGGGAAAGTCAGATAGGAACCTGGATTATAACAGAACTTCATGATTCTAGGGAAATAACGATAGAAAGAGAGACAAGAAAGTGATATTTGAGAGTAGCCAAGTGCAGATAATCAACCACAGAAACCTGGCAAGAGCTATTGACTGAGGCCAAGAGTATCTGTAAGATGTACAGAAAGTTAAGCAAACTACTTATAGGAGCCAGCTGCAAGAATGAATTAATATAAGCCACATGATTCAATCCTTATCCTCCTAGAGATAGTCCTAAGAGTAGTTGGTGGACAATGCAAATCCCAGGAAGAATAATCAAGATTACATGTTAAAGAAGCATGAGTTTGGATCTTTGAAGTCATAAAGGTATCAGACTATTGGACACTAAGAGCCACTCCAACCAGAGTCATGTAAAGGTCACATTTGATAGAGAAGGGATGGAGAGAATAATTGTTCCTCACAGGGGTTATAGAATGAGGAAGGACTCACCGGAGGCAAGCTGAGTTAGAGGTGTCAGGCAGAACCCAGCACCTTTATTTCAGCTGAGAACTATACAGGAACTGCTCGTCTGTAACAAGACTCTCAGGTAAAGCAGAGTCAAAGAAGTCAGGGCCAAGCCTTACCCTATAAAATGGACTTAATACTGCATCTAACTTAGCCAGTCCTAAATTCCCACTAAGATATCTATAAAGACAGAATGGAAAATGATGAGCTTTCACAAAACACTGGAATCTATGATTAACATAATACTATATATAACATAATTGATGGACCACTAGTACTATTTCACCTAAAAATACAGCCAGCTAGGGAGAAAGAAAGCTAAGAGCCGGACCCCTACTGCTGCCCCAATCTGTCTTTTGTCATCAGTTTGGAAACCCCATAAAGGCTGAGCAGCGGACCTTCTACTAGTTCTGAGGCCTCCCCAGTGTTCTCTCTAACTCCTTCCTGCACCCTTCCCCCATTCATACCTCTCTGTCTGTCCAGTCACTGACAGTAAGTCCTGGGGCGGGGAGGATGAGGAGTAGAAAATAAGGAGAAAGAGCCACTAAGTCATGAGTTTTGTATATGCATAGCCTCTATAAGAATTACTTTTTAGCATACCACAAGTGTCGTCTACCCATTCTGTTCTCTTGCCTTTCTCTGAATCTCTTTCTTGCTATGCATTTGTAGCAAAAACAGAAATTGCAAACACATAGAAGGGGAAAATGAGCAGTTTTGGTGGAGACAAAGGAACAATGCTTCCAAATTATAAAGTTCCCTTTCAAGGGGCAGGATTAGGGACTGTCAGTGTACACTGGGGGTTGCTCAGAAAAGAAAATTCCATTTCAATCCTATGAAACGAAAACTATAAAAACTTGATAGATTCTGAAGATTCTCTAGGCACTGTGAAGACCAGCCTATTCCAAATATATTTTGGTTTCTCCAACCTTTTTTCTGTGTAAATCTCCCATTATTAGAATGCGTTTAAAATTTTAATAACAAATCTTACAATTTTTATAAAGAAAAGGAGAAAAAAAAACATGCTGCACTCAAAAAGGAAATACAAAAAAATGTGGGAAAATTGACTAGTCATCTCAGTAGAGTATGAGAAGGTGTGGTTGTTATGAAACAGGATGAGAAAGCCATAAGAAAAGAACCATCATCCTTTAGGGAGCATGCTGAGAAGGAAAGGATAATGTAGGGAATGATGAAGTTTTAAATTGCAGCAGCCAAATTAAATCCACAGAGCCCGCAGAGAAGATTTGACACTGAGAAATCATCTCAGTAATGTGGAAGACAAACATGATAAGCTCCTCTCAAATGCTAAACAAAGGTGAAAAAAAAAGTTTACATGGTGAGAAAGGTGTTAGATATTCAGGGCACAAAGCAGTAAACTACCAAATAATTTTAAGTGTTCTTTGGGAAGAACAATTAGTGCAAAAGCTTGAAAAACAAAACAAAACAATGAAAATTCATGCAGTTTTGTTTTTTTCTCTTTTACATTCTAAAAATCAGGATAATCTCACACTTCTCTGTGGAAACCCATGGAATAACATCCACTGATATTTGAGAGAAAAAGGCTGTGACCCCCCTTTATTATATAGGGCCAGGTTATGAATTTTTTATGAATGAAGGCAACGGAAATGGCATACTTAACTAGCAGGAGCTCAGAGAATGTCACCCACAAAACTTTCTTGAAAATCTACTTGCAGCTGTATGCCATCCAATTGAAAAAGTAATTTAAAAATTATACTTATAATGAATATAAGTAACTATAATAGAAAAATAAATATTATAAAATTAACATGATGCGGCGTAATATAATAAATCAAGAATGTGAGACTGGGACATTGCCTTGCAAAAGGACTTTGCCACATTTTTCTTGATGGGGTGGAACCTCCAGTCTGGACAGAGCTTTACTCTGAAGTTCTTTTCTCAGCCTCTTTTAACCCTAGTCTGTTCAGATCCCTAAAATCATTTTACTTGCCTCAACCCCCCTCCCACTCCCATCCCCACTTTCTCGCAAACCCATTTATTTTTTTACGTTTTCATTTCATCTACTCTAATCCCATGCTTTCCAGCCTGTGAAAATTTAACAGTCCACCCAGGACTTTTCTGCCAATGGCCTAACTTGCTTGGAATCCTTGGCTCAGGTTACAGAGTCACACAATCTGATTGAAAATGTTATAAAAAACAGATTTCCAGAAGGAGCTTCTTGGAGTCAGTCTTGAAAAACTGTACTCGTGTGTTTGGAAGGGAAGAGGAGAGGTTCTGCTTGCAAAGTGCTCAGTATAAGACCTTGCTTCTGAAAAGTTGACTGAATTGCTCT